TGTTAGTTGTAAGGCTTCTGGTCAATAAAAGGCCATTAGTAGCTAAGTTTTTGTTGAGTAAAAAGTTATATGTGAACTGTTCAGTATAGGAGGGACTTTCGCATTGTTTGGGAGTAAACTGCCTGTTTACGTACACAGACACATAATTTTAATTATGTAACTTTTGTAACATCACATCAAAATTCAATTTGGTAGGTATTTGTATATTTATAAAAATTATATGTAATTTTTTTCCAAATAGATAATAACCACCTTTAAACAACTTTTCTTGACTAATTTGAATGCTATTTTAAAAATATGTATATACTATATAAACATGGAAAAAAAATATGGTTAACAGTATTTCATATTTCCTCTAGGCTCATAGGAGGGAGATTCTTATTTCTTTACATTCAAATTATTCATAGTTCATATTTAGTAATTGTATAATTATAAATAATATACATCATATTTAGAGTAGTGTGGTTACTTAAAGGCATACATTTAATTACTGCTATTAAGAACAAATAAACTGTTGCATGTACAATATAGGATTATTTCTGAGTTTCTTCATCTCTTCCACTACTTAGTATTAATTTGAGTGGTTTTCTAAAACTTTTAGATATCTGATACAGAAGGCTCTTAGCACTACCAAAACTTTCTTATTTCATTCTTTGATCATTTATAATAAGCTTCAAAACTATAGTCTATTAAAACAATGATTTTAATTAAAATTATATTTTATTTAAAATTACTTCAGGGAAGAATCAAAAATTTCAATGCTTCCAATTTTACTTTTATGTCTCAGTAAAGTCTTCTAGCTATTTTCATACAAGGTTAGGTATATCTTGCAAGAACTTACAGGTTTTACAAATTCATTGCCAATCTGAAAGGTATTTTGTTCAATTATATTATTTTATTTGTTGACATACAGGAAAGACATATTTTAAAATATTTTAAACTAGTTAACTCATTGAACAATTTTATTAACATAAGCAGCTTTTTAGTTACCTGAAATTTGATATCATAGAAATACTACTGTGTTTTTTTCTTTTTCATTAAGAATTAAATCTCTTATTTCATATCTTATTGAATTCATGAGACTTCCTGAGCAATATTACAAATTAGGAAGACAGTAGATAATTTTGCTTTGTATCTTACACTAAAATTTCATCAGTAACTATTTTGTTTGGTATAAGATGGACATGTTGTTTAAAAAGTTAAGGAGGCATATTTCTAATATTACCTTGCTAAATTAAATGTTTTCATAAATATATTAACATTCACTGAGACAAGCATATAATTTTTAATACTCATGGAGATTACTATATTTTCCTGTTATTATACAACTTCTGAACTGTAAAAATAAATTATGCTAGACAATAGTATATTATCCTTTTACTATACTGTTGATTCTGTTTGGTGATATTTGATCAAGGATTTTGGTTCCCATTCATAAATAAAATTATTATATAAGATTTCATCTCATTCTTAGTTACACAGCATTCTTATGAGGCTTCCATACAAAGAAGTAAATATTGCAAATCTGAACAGTAATCCCTTGAATATGACAATTTCTGGCTCACATTATTTTATGTTTTCCAAAACACAATAGAGATTAGACATACAAATGATCCATCAGCTCTGGCTACGCATGACTTCTGCTTTTTTATTTAAAAAACAATAATAATAAAATAATAAAAGAGCTGGATGCAGTGGCACAATATTGTAATCCCAAGGGCTTGGGAGGCCCAGGCAAGAGGATCAAAAGTTCAAGGCCCTACACAAATTAATGAGACCCTGTCTCTAAAAAAAAATAAATAAATAAACAAATAAAAATATAAAGATGAGGTTTCAACAACACTGTGGACATTAAGGAAACAGAATATACCTAAATAAAATTTAATTTATAAGTATTATACAGAACACAAGCTGTATAAACACAATAATAGAAATTAGGTAGAATAATGTTAGACTTCCAGACTTATTAATTTATGCCTTTATTGCACACCATTGGTTAAAGTATGGTTACGGAATAAATTAAATCAACTACATTGCAATTACCGAAAAAGGGATCAATACTAGTATCATACCCAGGTTGAGAAAGGAAATAATGATACTACATAGTTATGTTGACCAGATATCATTTAAGGTAAGGTCTGCCTCCTCCTGGTTTTGAAAAATAATTTAATAATGTTTTCCTGATACATAAGAAAAATCCAACATCAGAAAAATAAAATCAGCTATAATTCTACCTTTCGGAGTTAACAGTAAAATACTAGAAAGTTATATATGCTTTTCAATATAGTTTTGCTATGTTTATGTATATTTTTGTAAACAAATGAAACAATATTACTCACAGTATAGACAACCAAAAAACTATCTGAACAAGTATATATCTACAATGCCATTTTATAGTCTGAGAGCATTCTATCACATATAAATAGTTCATACAATTTAATTCTCTACGGTTACTGAATTTTTCCCTAAGTTTTGGTACTATAAGACAAATATTCTTTTAAATTTCCTCTGTACACATTTAAAATCAGTTCTTTAAAATATTCATGAAAATAAAATTGTTGCATCAAAAGGTACACAAAGACTTTTAGGCTTATATAAAATTGTCCAAGATTAACTAATTTAATTTCTTACATTTACTTTTTAATGCCATATTTTAAAAGTTACTTGAAAGTTCCTTTTACTTACTTGAAAAAGTTATCTATTAGAGTAAGACACAAGAACATACTATTTTTTAAGAGAAAAAAAATATAGATCATTAGCCACAAAATTTAATGCAAAATTTAAGAATTTTCTAACAGGACAGCAGTCAAAATATGCTCTCTGCCCAAAGATGGATTCCTTGTCATTGAAAATATATAATAATTACAAACTGCCCTGGTTAAAGATATCACATTGGCCACAGAGCATGACTTCTATCTTTGAATGATTTTATGTTGCTTTAGCTTCAGCTTTGTCATATTTGATGTGATCAACTTTCCTTATAATATTCTGTGTATATAAAGATTCTACTTTCAATTTCTAACCCTTCATATTTTATTTAATAATTTCTGTTTTTCACTGTCCCTTAATATGAGTGTTTCAGTCAGCTTTTTATCACTGTGACCAAAATACCTGACAAGAACTGCTTAAAGGAGGAAAAGTTTATTGGGGGCTCATGGTTCAAAATTCTTAGTCCATAGATTGCCAACTCCTGGCCCCAGAATAATGGAGTCAGCCATCTATAGACTTAGACCTCTAAAACCATGAGCCCCACAAACACTTTTCCTCCTTTAAGTTGTTCTCGTTACCCAAAGAACATGTATGAAGATAAGGATTGGTGTCAATATACTTTATATACAACCTGAGATATGAAAAAAATGTGCTGTATATGTGTAGTAAGAATTGTAATGCATTCTGTTGTCATTTATTTTTTTAAAAATCAATTAAAAAAAGCTAACTAAAACAATGGACAGGTTTAATATAATAACACTAAACCCTAAGATTTGTCCAAGTGATACAACATTCTACTCAGTTCTTTGCCCTATAATTGCAGAGAACAGAGAAAAAAAAAAAAAAACATGATGAAAGCAATGTTGTTCAAATGCCCAAGAAAGAAAAATAGCAGATCATTCCTCCAAAAATTACTCATGAGCTAAACAAGGATAGCTATTTAGCTAGAAAACAGCTAAACAGCTAAATAGAAAACAGGTCTATTACTACTAAAATAATAAATAAATATGTCATAAATCACACTGTATTTAAAATACAGATCTGATAATAATATTTTTCTCTGGAAGGAAAGTATTAAAGAAGTAAGTGTAGATAGCATGAATATTTAGGCTTATCAAAAAAGTTAAATTTTAAGTTCTTATTAGAGTGTAAACTTATTCCATATGAATGCTAAAAGTGTTTCATTAATTCAAATATGGTAATAACTTATAATTTCAAGTATTTAATGTACCTTTAGAAGATATGAAGCTCCATCCACTTCTGCTTTGCCCACAAGCTGACAAGTCAGGTCAAAATACTGCATAGGCTGAACATCACACAACTGTACTAACATGGAAGAAGGCGAAATATGTGTAGATGCCCACACCCGTAGTGCTTCTACCATTTTGTGGTCCTCAGCAGTGAAGTTAAAACATTTGCTTGAAGTACGAGGTATGACAGGAGCTCCCAAGGTTCCCTCAAATGTCAAAGATGCAAACCCAGAGCTGGTGATACCCTGAGGCTCATTTTTATATATCTGAATCTAAGAAAATAGAGCAAAGTAGAAAACAGATACTAACAAAATAGTTTATCAACCACAACTCAGGAGCTAAAGAAACGTGAAAGATTATAAATTTTTCCAGCATAATTAACACACGCATGTAATTCTTTAATATTTTTCATTGAACTAACATGAAATGTAAATTCAACTGGTATTATATCAATATACATAAGTTATCATATAAAATTCTACAACACTGTACAAAACATATTTACATTTTCAAAGAGGTAGTCATTGACTACCAAGTTTTCATACATTATTTTTACTAAGATATAATTTACACAAGGAAAAAAGGGATAGTAAGTGACAGTTATTAATGACAGATTAAAAGCTGGAATACTTAAAAGATGAGTATGTGCTGTGAATAAATGCATTTTAGGCTAGTTTACTTCACTGTGATTGAGAGAGCTGACAAGCCATGAGCATTTTTTTTGCTTTCTGAATTTGGGAGCTCATTTACTAGATATATAATTGTTATATTTTCTTCATGAAGTGACATTTTTGTCCTTATAAAATGCTCCCTTTCTCTTAAAAAAATCTTTTTAATAATATATGCTTGATAGTGTAGTTATTTCATTTTCTGTATGACTACTGCTTGCTTGGATATTTTTTCCTATAGTTTTAGTTTCAATTAAATTGTGTCTTTATATTTTAAGTATGTTTTGTAGGTCATATACCTACAGTTTTAAAATTTTCATTCAGTTGATCCTTTCCTTGTAACTGTACTGTTCATTCTATTTACATCAATGTAATTATCACTATGGTTGTACTTTGTTATCTTGTTATTTGTTTTTCTTTTGTTCTTTGCTGTTTGCTTTTTAAAAACTGCTTCATTGGTACCACTGTTCCATATATTGGATATTTCAATTCTCTTTCAGTTGATTTCATACTTCATTTTGGTTTCTACACTGGTTTCCGCGTAATTTGTTTAGGTCTCTTTTATTTTCATCTACCTTGCATTAAGTGCATTTAAGTCAATGTTATTCATCAAATTTGGAAAAGTGTTGTCCTTATTTCTAAAAAATATTTTCCCCATCCACATTCTTTTCTGTTGCTTCTCAAATTATATAATGCAACACTTGATATCCTTCAAAAATCCCTCAGGGTATATTCATTTTTACTTAATCCTTTTTCCTTCAGATTAGGTAATTTCTTTAGCTCTATGTGAAAATTAACTTGATATATCTAATCTGCTCATTAGCCTGTCCATTAGATTTTTCATTTTATTTGCTGTTCTTTTCAACTACTGAAATTTCTATTAGGTCTTTTAAAAACAGTTCCCATTTCTCTGCTGTAATTTGATTTTTCATTCATTTACATTTTCATTTGCTAAAAAAATTTTTCTTAATATTTTGAATTTTATATATTCTATAAATACCTATTTTTAAGTTTTAATTAAAAAAATCCAACATCTGGGCCAAGGAATCTGTTTAGAATGTCTTTTTCCTCCCTTGCCTCTGGGTAATATTTTGCTATATTCTTATTTAGTATTCTTTTTTCCTTTGGTAGACACTGTAAGAATCTGAATTGTGTTACCTCTTCATGGCTAAACACCTTAAATCCAAGAAGACCTGGTTTTATGCCTTGTTATACATAATCTATGGAAACCCCATGGTGTTTTCCAAAGTCCTTGTATCTTGGTGGGACTCACTTGCAACATGTCTTCTTTGTAGATCTTCTTACAGGTTTTGACAAAATATGTTGTAGTAGGCCTTACTCTAGGATGTTTCCCTTTATGAAGAAGGGCTTTAGGTTTTCTCAGCTGAATATCAAAGGTGTAAAAGAGGTATTATCAAGGTTATTTATCCCTAAGTAGGCTGAACTGCAGCATCCCCAATGCTAGACCTCTAATATCTATTTCATGTTCAACCATAATTCTGTCAGAGAGCAACTCTTGTAATCCTTAAGTATTCTTGTCCTTCCCATGTACAGCACAGCTTTCAGTCAAGAATTCATGGACTCCAACCCCATCTCTAACACTAACAGACTTCTTGACATGCCCCTATAAATAGTTCTTTCCTCTTTGTACCTCATCTTAAAGATCCAAGTTCTTTTAGCTGTCTTGAATTTTGGCCTAGTTTCCTTATCTTAGTAGAACAACAGGTTACAATCCAGCTTGCCATGCAATTGTTGAGAAACTGTACCCAGATAGAGATATGGTGATCATGTGGCTCATCTCCTAAGTCTCTTTTCTCTATCTGATCAGATAGCTATTGTCCAATGTGTGAAAACAATTGCTTCACCTTTGTACAGTGGGAAAAAAATGCTCACAATTCATATAATTTGACTAAAAAGATCTATAACCTTTATATATAAGGGACTTCCACAATAAGATAAGAAAGGGAAATAAAAATCCCATAGAAAAGAAAATACATAAAAATGGCTATTTCATATTTTGGAAGATACATGAATTCAAAAATGTTCTCGACTTCATAAATATTTCACAAAAATTCAAGTTAAAACCATGAGATAGTAATATAAACTGAACAATACATTTTAAATGGAAAATATCAAGTGTTTGTGAAATATGGAACAACCAGAACTTTCTTATGCTGTTAGTGACAATGTAAAGTGGTAGCAATCACTTTGAAAAACTTAGGGTGAACACAAAAGTACATCTTAAGGCCCTAGCAACCACACTTGCTAGTATAAACCTAACTAAAATGTATGTGTGTATATAGGTATGTGCTTGAACATATGTTCATATTAACTAAAAGCTATACTAAAGAGTCCATAACAATATTTATAATTTCCACAATCTGGAAATCACCTAAACATTTAGAAACAACAGAATGAATATAAAAATTATGATGCGTTCACATAGGAAAGTACCATTTATCAATGAAAACGAACAAAACCATGAAAGCAATATGGATGAAACACACAATCATGAGTAGACATTTAAAACATAAAACCAAAACCATAGTGTCTAGCCACATTATAAAGGGAATACAAACAAGATACACAAATAAAACTAGTATGATATTAGAAATCATAGCATTGACTCAGGCCTGTTGGCATATGCCTATAATCCCATCTGCTTGGGAGGTTGAGTAGAAGGACTTCCTGAGCCCAGGAATTTGAGGCTAGCCTAGACAACATAGCAAGAGCCCTGTTTCAAAAATTAAGTAAATAAATAAGTTAATTTATTATGATTGTTACTCCTGTCCTTTACCAAAATTTTCATATCATGAATCTATATTTGAAAGTAAGAACACAGAATGGTCTTAGTGTGAATCTGAGCATCTAATATATTTCTGAGGAAGAAGAATTGGAAATTTATTTAAATGAAGTGATATCACACTATATATTATTTGGAGTCTGATACTATTTACATTTCTTATCTTCTGAAACAGCTGATGTCATGCTCTAAACAAAGCAACTAAACAAGTAGTGCTAACTAGCTTCAGTGAATGGCAGAGTTCTCATCAAAAGAATGTAAGTTATAAAAAGTATGAATTATACCTTAAGCCTGTGAAAGCGAACAATGTCTCCAATTTTATAAATTATTGGAAGGGCTTCATAGTTTCCACTAAAAAACAGGCAAGTTAACTTTACGTTTGTCTGATCTACAATTGTTACCACCGAGCAATAATCTGGAAAACACAAAAATATTGGCATAACTTTTAGTATTTCAAAGCATTTGATGAAATAAAATTATGCTTACTTCAAAATGCCATACTTTATTATTTAAATTTTTAAAGAAAAGGATGAAATATGAAGACATTTTCTTGGTTTTCAATATGCCTTGTCAAACTAATCTGTAAAAGTGTTCCACAAAAATTACTTTAGAAACTGTAGTAAAACAAAATTAAAGACTCAATTAATTTTTCTGGAGAGGCAGTATCTTCTTTTATTACTCCAAAGTTTAAAAATCATAAAGTTGATGAACATAGTCAAATAAACAAAGTATAATTCATAAAGTAAGCACATTTAAGTTTAGAATAAAAAGAGTATATTTGCACCAAATATGATGAAGTCATATTGTAACTACATAAAAATGCTATATATTGACTGCAGTGCCAGGGATCAAACTCAGGGCTTCATGCATACTAGGAAAGCACTCTACCACCGAGCTGTCCTTGGCCCCCAATTTTTTTAAAAACTAGAATTTTACAGTAAATGCACAAAAAAATAAATGATTCCTAGAAAACAGTTTTTTGATAACAAGAAGTAAAGATATACCTGAGAGATTGGAGGACTGTGGGTACTCAAGAGCAATAACAATGAATAAAAGCAAAGAACAAGGAATGAAAGTTGAGTATATTATTTAAAATCAAAGAGCGTTGATAAGGAAAAAGTGAATAATAAAAATCTAGAAGGAATAACATTTTCCAGAGTAAAAGTATTTCAATAATCTAAAAGCATTTCCCTCTGATAGTAATTGCTTGATAAATTACACTACATAGTCATACTTTAAAAATTGTTTCTCAACTCATAAGTCAATCCCAGGTATAAACATATATGGCAGGAGCTCAAGTTGGGTGGAAAGTAAATATAGAAGTTAACAACACATTGGTCAGTGTTCTTATCATAAATCTAACAGCTTTGGAAATTACAGATCAAGTCTGAAAAAGAAGTGTATCTTAGACTACTGAAAGTTGAAACAGATATCAGAACAAATCAGTCATCATAAAAAAGACAGATATGGGAGAAAAAAATGACCTGCCAGTATAAAAAATCAATAAGAAAATTTGTCCAAATATGCCATGGTTTGGAAACGAGAAAAAAATAATAGGCTAACTAGTAGATAAACTTCCTGCTGAAGAGCAAGAATTTTAAAAAAATACAATAAACCTAAAGGAAATAGGATACAGTAGTAATTTCAAAAAGAAAAAAATTAATTTTCCAGCAATATTAGATTTTAGCAATAAACAAAAATATTATTTATTACTCTTCTATATTTGCAACACACCTAATTCCTATTATGTACATTAAAAAGTTTTATCAGAAAACAAATCCTTTACCTACAATTCATCCAGTTCTTCCACACAACTATCACTAATATTGCCTCATATCTAACAGATATGATTTAATACAGGATTTTTGGTAAGAGCTTCCAGTGTTTCTCTAAGCACTACACAGGTTGTTAGCTTTGCAACTGGATTCACATGCATATGACCATGCTACTTACCACCTGTCCTTCTTGTGAATATTACCTCTGTAATTTTGGTCCCATTTTCCATAACAGTGATATAATTTACTAATTTCATAGTGAAATGCACAGCTGGTTTGCCAGAAAATAACAACATAGTTTGAATAAAACACAATTAGTTTGAAAGTTTTAAGTTCCTTAATATTTTATGACAGATAAAACATAAGGGCAGAGATCACTATTCTAACAAAATCTGACACAACTCATGGTACGCGTCATTAAACTTAGTCCTTTTACATTTTTGTTTCTTGGCAGCCTTTATAAAGCACATAGCTGATTCACTTGTAACAGAATACAAAAACTCGCGTTTCATATTTGTACCTAGTCACTTCTTGCATTTATGTCATTTTAACCTGCAGCAATTCTACATTACTCCTCTTACTTTAAATGCTTTGAAATGATCCATTTTTATATACTGGGGATATAATGCAAAAGCAAAACTGCAAATTCATGGCATAAATAGTTGAATTTGAATGTTAGCAAAGATGAACAAAATCTAGTCCTTGTAGAACTAAGATGATATTGAAGAATGTAATAGCTGTAGGGGACGGGGCAGGGGGGGGTACGGGGATTTTGATTTTTAAAAATGAGGCTTAATCTAAATTTTAAGACTAAAAAAGTTTTACGCCCGTCCCCCTGCTCCCAGGAAATGTCAACCTTCAAAAGATGAGTTGCTGGGAAATGCCAACCTTCAAAAGATGAGTTGATGGATTGAAAGACTCTAGGTAATATTTTGATAAACACTGATGTAGGCCCATTATCTAAGTAGTCTTTACAGGGTCATCACTAGTTTTGTAGTGCTTTGTGCAAAACTGAATAGACTCCCCTTTTTCAAAAGTACTGATGATCCTCATCAATTTTACAAAGAAATTTTATTGACTCCAGGAGAGCAGTTTTGGCTACTCACCCATATGCACTCCTATCTGATCTCACATGCACACCCAGAAACGGTGATAAAATGGACATATTCTTTCCTCACCACCACTTAACTAGAAGTGACTGTGCCAGGTTAAAGGTCTGTGTGGGACTGGACAGCTAGGAGAAAGAGAAACACTTCAAAGGATGCCCAAAGTACACACACAACAGTTGTGTGTGCAAGGAGTATTATGTCTGCATGCTCAGAAATCTGAGTATGTAAATAAGATGGCTGAGGATCTAGGTTTATGCAAGAGAGGACACTCCTCAGTTCAATCAAGTCTTGGCTGTAAACCCTGAAATATCTTTTACCTAAACAACTCTATTACCTGGATGGAGCACATACCTCTACCAATAGCACGCTAAGTCCATGTTCCTAACTCTCACTTGACCCATGTGTTCTCCTTTGGAAGCACTACTACCTGTGACTTTTGGCAAATGTAAACCAAAGAGACTTACCATGTGCTCAAGGAAGAAAGGGAAGTAGGCAAGCAAGGAGGAAAGGAAGGAAGGAAAAAGATATTTCTATAGAGTAAGAGCTTCCTTTAAAGCAAAATACACACACACACACACATACACACACACACACACGTAAATAAGAATTAGTAGGCATGACTTTCTTAATTCAATACAAGAGATGGGGGAGAGTGGATGATATGCAACAGTTGAATCACCTGAAATACTATTTTAACAGAATGACTTCCCTTGCAGTTTGAATAAATCTGCCCCAAATGTAAATGTCCTTCAGGATTTTCCTCCATTATCCTACATCATTAAAATCTTTTTTGTTGGTTAATATTTTGTATTGTAGTAGTAGTAATCCCTTAGCTTTTGCTTTACAGTTTTCCAGACCTCATTTAAAAAAAAATTAGTACATAAGCAAAGTGAATAGCAGATTCACTCATTATTTTATGCCACACGTAACCATAGTTTATAGAGAGTACTAAGTGAGGGAGACATGGTCTTGCCTCCCATGAAGTTTACCTTATTGATTTCCTTGTATGATTTTACATTTTTATAAACTAATGTTAAAATCTTAGTTTTTATAATATTTTATGCCCCATTTGCTACTGTAGAGTTTACATTCTCTATATAGGTAATGACTCATCATGGTAAAGGCAGAATTAATGATGCACATGACATTTTCCAGAATAAATGGAAATACACATTTAAACTTGATGAACAGTCAGTATTAAGATTGTCCCCAAGTCTTGCTGAGCATTTACTTTATTTATTTATTTTTGAGAGAGAGAGAGAATTTTTAATATTTATTTTTTAGTTTTCGGTGGACATATCTTTATTTTATTTTTTTTTATGTGGTGCTAAGGATCAAACCCAGCGCCCCGCACAAGCCAGGTGAGCGCGCTACTGCTTAAGCCACATCCCCAGGCCTGAGTATTATTTTAAATATTCACATTTTAGAAAAGTGGCAAACCCTGCAGTTCAAAATATCAGGCAATAGAAAAGACTTCAAATTAAATTTCTAGATATGATTCAAGTTCAACCAAAGGGTCAGAAATTAAATCTATCATGGGAAGTTAACTATTATTTATAATTTATTATTTTTGTCATTTTTTATAACTAATACTTGTCAATGTTCCGATTTATATAGAGCTGAATAAAGCATTCTACTGAAAACCAACTGAAAATATAGTTTCTCTGTTTAAGTACTTTGTTCCTAGGTCTTTAATAGGAAGAAAGCTGCATTACTTAATGGTCAATAATACTGAAGGATTACTATATACCAGGCAATATGGTAAGCTCTGTGTGTTTGTGTGTGTGTTATACATACATAACACACATATATGTGTGTGGGCGCATGTTTATACATGTGTCTAAACATACAAACATATGTACACTCACATATCCATACACATACCTCCTTAAATTTTTTTGTCTTATGGAAACTTTATTATTTTGTCTTTCACATACAGATTTTTTATTTACCAGGAATTAATTTTATGTTTGATAGGAAGTAGTGATTCAGTTTCATTTATTTCAAATGGTCACAATTGAAATCTTATATACTTGAATATACTAGAAATTATTCTTCCAGCTTTAAAACAAGGGAACTTCTTGTGGCTGGGGTTGTGGCTCAGTGGTAGAGCTCTTGCCTAGGACATGCAAGGCCCTGAGTTCGATCCTTAGCACCACATAAAAATAAATAAAAGTATTGTGTCCAACTACAACTAAAAAATATATTATATATTATACATATATTATATGTATAATATATAATATATATAATATATATACACACACACACACACACACACACACACACATACATACAACAAGGGAACTTCTTAAAAAGGTTAGTCAAGCTATCCAAGTTCGAACATCTTATAGGTCACAAAGCTGGGATACAAACTTAGCATGTCTGTATCAAATATTTCTATGCTGCATGCTTTTAAAAACCTGAACATTTACTTCCAAAATGTAAAATATTGCACTCAAAATTATGATGAAAGCTTGAGTAATTCTAATTACATAAAATCATACTGTATCTGAATTATATTTACAATCTTTAGAATTTCATGCATTTGTCTTGAAACAGTTCATTTCTGAAGAATTAACACATCATAATGAAAAAAATATATAAATTTACTCCATAGAAACAGACCCAATGGTACTATCACGGTTTCTATTACTGTATTCCATTCATATGAAGCTTATCATATATGCTACTTTGCAATTCTTTGTGATAATTAAGATTTATTTTTGATTCATAAACTGAATGAATAAAAGAAGAGTATTTTTAGAAAAGTAGTCTCTCCTCAGGGTATTTGTAAAAAGTTAAATACTAATGGAAAGACAATCAAAGATGTATGTTTAAGTGTAAGACCACTTAAAGAACAGTCTATTAAACTTTGAGTGGTAAGAAAAAATAGAGGGGCAGTGGGGTTAGGACAGGGCAAACTATGGCTCAAGGGACAGATCTTGCCGACTACTTGTTCTTCAACTTTGCAAAGCATTCAACTTTATTTTCATAAAGATAGTGTTTTCACATTCATATCTATATTTAACTTCATTATTTAATTAGAATAACAAGTGAAAGGAGTATCAACAGATCTGAGAGCAAATCAAAATATAAGAATACAATTCTTGTAAAAAGAGAGCTTCATTTGTGGGAATAGAAGTGTGAAGTGTACTAATCAACTCCTACTAGAGGGAATTCAGAATGAAAAGCATCAGTTACATGGTTTTACAGATAAGAAGAGGACAGATAGTAGTTAGAGTTTCTAATTTAAATAATTTAGCTATGTGCAAATGCCCAATATCATACAAAAGTAATTTATGTATTAGAATGGAAAATATATTTTCAGAACAGGAGACTTCTGAAGAATATCAAAGGGGAAATAGACTGCTTTTAATCAGAAGACATAGAAAGACAGGCTTCCAGACTTAGCATCAAATCTTCTCAATTCACTGCATTTATCACACATAGTAGCTGATCAATCAAACACATGGCACATGTAAAAATTCATCCCCCCCTAAAGCCAGTGACAAACACAGTCTCTGTATACCTCAATTTTCTTATATGAAAAAATGGGTAAGTCACAGTATTCACCTCAATGGACTGTTAGAATTAAACAAGTGATTACTTGTGCAGTGCTTAGAATAATGCCTGGCATGATAAATGAGCGCTGAGCAGTAGTAGCAGGAAAAGTAGTGACAGTATTTCTTCTAGTGTACATAATAACAGGGTTCTCTAATAAACCTACATATGATCTTAGAATCTGTCTAAAGAAAATATATAGTATCTAAAAATACTTTGTCAAAATACGGTGCCAATCTTTAAGTTTGGCAAATGAAATGGAAAGTATAGATTCAAAGGATTACAAAAAGATTTAGACTTGAATTTCTACTGGATTAGTTACTATTAAATATGGTTTCTTTCCAGAGAAGACTCTCACAGTTAACAAGAACATGCCATTCTGAAAAAAAAATTCACTTGGGACACAAGAGTTTCTGAAAAGATGGAAAGTGAAAAATAACCATTAACCTGTCTTACCTTAATCTTAAACTTAATTAAAATGCCAAAGAGACAAAGACAATTCTCATAGAGCAAAGGGGGTAATCAAGAGCCAAGAAGCTCTAATATCTAGATTAAGATTTAGGATAAATATACTAGCAAGGCAAAAAAGCTAACATAGATTTTTTAATTGCTCCAAGGAAATATTGTATTCAAAAATAAACCAACTTCACAACTTTCAATAATGAATTCACAGAACAATACAAGTATTTATTTTCACTATGACTTATTTCTACTCTGTCCTAAATGAAGATACAAACTAAAGGTAATTTAGGTCTTTCTTCATAGTTAACATCTCCAGGGAAGATGGGCAAAGAACTTTAACAAATCAATGTTTTTTACCTAAATATAGCCTTCATAATATATATGTTTAAACTGTTGAGAAAATATTGACTTTAATGCTTTAGTAATACTTTATAATTTGATTTCTGACAAAGCATTTAACTGGTTTAACACTTTGGTAATACTTCCCATAACTTGATATAAATCTGAAAAGATAAAAAATGACAAATCAAGCACTCTATTCTGCAATATTGAGCAATTCACCTATTTTCCTCAGCATGAGTAAGTATAAATTGCTTTGGAGTTTTATTATAAAAGTTAGTACTTCATCTAAGCAAGGTCTTTAATGAAAGAAGCATGCATGCATAAATAATATAATCTGCAAAAAACTCTTCTATGAAAGCTGCTTCATCTCCTTTTTATCTACTTCTATACTTCTGTTTTTAAACCAATCAATATTTTAGCCACACTCTCCCATTTGAATAAAAGTATCTTATGGAAATATTTAAGTACAAACTATGAAGATAAATCACTGTATCAAGACCACATAATATATAATCCTATTTCTTTTATAAAGAAACTTATTATACAATAAGAACATTTCTTTATTGTGCTGGGGTGAGGTTACATAATTTCCCTTCATATTTTATTGTACTGTAAAAGAGCACTGAAGATAGAACAGAAAGCAAATAGTATGATACATATTATATATTACAAAATACATACTATAGATGATAAATATTATATGTACTATATATTTTAATACATACAGATATAGACTAGATAGGTGGAAGATTTTTTT